CACGCAACTGTTCTATACGTTCAACTTCGCCAATCAGACGGGCGTCGCCTGGCAAGCGGTGGGCAGCTACCAGTTCACCAACTGGCAGGCAGTGGATGTGGCGCCGGGTGCCGGTGTGCTCGACGTCGGCGACCAGGTCGAGGTCATCATCGTCAGTGGCGGCTGCGGACAAAGCGGACACGGCGGGCTGGTTTATGTGGATTCGGGCCAGGGGCTGACTACGCTGCCTGGTCCCTTCGTGACAGCTACGGCACCGGAATACGTTGTGCGCTCGGACCCTTCGCCCGGTGTCCAACGCACCGTGGAGTACGACTACCACTACAGCAACGGTGGTGATGCACCCATGACCAATAGCCAGGTCATTGTTCGCTCTCCTCAGGATCAGGACGAGCGCAATCCTTCGACCGGGGCGGTTATCAATCGTCAGCAAAACCTGCGTGTGGACCCCGGTTCGCTACCTGCCGCATGCTCCATCACCCAGACCATCAACCCGCCGCATGCCGACAGCTCGCTAGGCCCTATTGACGTGGTGACCTGTAACGTTGGCACGCTCAATCCCGGCAATACGGGAGACCTGCAGTTGAACTGGATCGTGCCTGACAACGCGCGGGCCCCCACGCTGAACCATGGCAACTACTACATCCAGTCCGCGAGTTCTCCTCCGCTGCTGGGGCCATTGGTCAAGTCGAACCTCACGACGCTGCAGCGCGCTGACCTGAAAGCCTCTGTCACCAATCCGTCTTCGTCGCTGGCTTGCGGTGCTAGCACCACCTATACCGTGACGTTGAGCAATGACGGTCCGGACGCGGCTCCAGTGGGAGTCGAATTGGGGAATACGGTACCTTCTGGACTGACCGTGAATAGCTGGACGTGTGCTGCCACGGGCGCATTGTCATGCCCGGCAACCACAGGTTCTGGGTCCATCGCTGGTGTCACCACGACGCCATGGGCGTCAGGTGAGCAGTTGGTCTATACAGTGGACGCCACCGTGGATTCGTGCTCCGGGGGCGCGCGCTCCATCGTGTATCCAGTTTCGGTGAGTTTGCCAGCATCCGCCGCGACCATTGTGGATCCTGACTCCAACAACAACACCAGCGCGCATTCCATGAGCGCGGGGCCAGCCTTGCAAACGCTGACGGTTGATACCCAGGGCACCGGCCTGGGCAAGGTGACGTCGGTGTTGCCTGGCATCGTCTGCGACAAGACCACTGCGGGCACGCAGTGCTCCGACAACAAGCAGTTTCCTGCGGGTTCGCAGGTGGCGTTGTATGCCAATGCGCCTTCTGGCTCGATCTTTTCGGGCTGGTCTGGCGGTGTGTGTTCCGGCACAGCACAGCCTTGTTTGGTGACGATGAGCCAGGCGCGCAACGTGACGGCCACGTTCTCGGTGCCCTTGGATGTGACGGTCACGTCTGGCGTCGGCGGAACTGTGACACCACCCAATGGCACGGTGGTTCCTGTTGCCTCTGGCAGCACGACATCCATCACTGTGGTGCCGAACGCCGGTTTCGCGCCCCAGTTTGGTGGAACCTGCCCCGCCGGTAGCTACGTGGGCAACACCTACACCACAGACGTCTTGACGGCCAACTGCTCCGTGGATGTGACTTTCACCAACGCGGGGGGGGTGGTCACAGCCACTCCGAATGCGCCGGCTGGCGGGTCCATCGTTGGTGGTGCAAAGACGGTCGCATCGGGAGGCTCTGCAACGTGGCGGGTGATTCCGAACTCAGGCTTCGCTGCGGTGGACCCCACTCATACCTGTGCGCCAGGTGTGGGGTCCTGGAACGCTGATCGAACGGAGTACACCGTGGCACCAATCAATGCCAACTGCGCCGTGTCCTTCGCATTCAGTGCGGCGTTTACCGTGACCGGCACGGTCAGCGGCACATCGCCCGGCCCTGGCTCGGTCAACGTAGGTGCCACGCAGAACGTGGTGAGTGGAAACTCGGCCATCTTCACGCTCAGCCGCGCAGGTACTGTGGATACGGCTGCGAGTACCTGCCCAGCTGGCACGTTCGATGCGACCAACACCGTGTATACGGTGCCCTCTGTGACCGCCAGCTGTGGCGTGGTGTTCAGTTTTGCCGCTGTGGCGGCCGCTGCCAATCCGCAAGCGATTCCCACCCTCAGCGAATGGGGCCTCATCCTCATGTCGGCCCTGATCGCTCTGTGCATGGTGATCATGCATCGCCGCCGGAAATTCTGATCTGGATGGCAACCAACGGGGCCGGGCATGGTGCTGCCTGTCCTCGCAAGAACCAGCGATACCTTGCGGTTTCGCTGGTTTTTTAACGAAATGCCCTGCTAGCGCTTGCCAGTAAAGCACCATTAGCTATCGATTTTGAATTGGATGGAGAAAAGCATGCGGCCTTCTCAATACGTTCTTATGCTCTGCCTGTTGGCTTGGAGTGGGGCTGGCGCCGCGCACGAGGCGCATCCGGCGAGGGGCACGCCAACCTCCGCCCAGGCTGCCGATGCGCTTCGCGAATCCCGCCTGCCAGCACTGCCGACGCGCAAGGACGGTCTCTGGGAAGTGCTGGTGCGCAACGATGATCTGGTGCTCAAGCGTGCCGGGCAAGCTACGCCGCGGCCGGTCACGGTCAGGCAGTGCACTAGCGCTGCGGCCGAGCCTGTCATGCTGATGTCGATCGTTCCGGGACAGGAAGACTGCCATGAGCGCAAAGTGCGTCGGCGTAACAAGGGCTTAGAGGTGGGCTACGACATCAGCACGGTCTGCTATGTGCATGACAACCGCGTGGAGACACAGATGCAGGTACTTGGAGATCTGCAGTCTGCCTACCGCGGCAGTTTTGAGGCCAAGTTCCCCAAAACACCGCTTCACAACACGGGGCGCATGGTGTTCGAAGCGCGCTGGCTGGGAGCCTGTGCTGCGGGGCAGCGTGCCGGCGACATGCTATTGCCCAATGGCGTGACCGTGAACGTGGTGGATGACCATCGGCGCGCCGAGAACGCTGACCATAGCGGGCACAAGCACTGAGTCAGCGAAGTCGCTGCGGCGATAGGGCCGCAGCAGCACTGCCTGACAGGCGCAGTGCCTCTGAAAAGGCCGGCCGTGCTGCGGATGCGTTACGGCCTGCCTTGGATCGGCTTACTGGCTGATCTCCAGCATCACCACCCGCCCTTCAGCCGCAGGCCAGTCT